TGAAGTATTTATATACAATAAATAATAAACGCACTATTTATAAGAATTGCACTGTTTGCACGCAAACGCTCGCACTGTGCTTCAAAATATAAAATTTATTTTTATGGGACACATATGGAAACTATTTTGCTTATTTTTTAATCTTACGGAACCTTCTTCCCAGAAATACTTGTTAAATCGTAAAAAATACTGTACTGTCAGAACTGTTATATTATGTTATATTGCAAGTTAGTTGATGTTTTACTATATTAACATTCTTATGTTTTTCTCTGTTGCGACATGTTTATTAACAGGCTATTTATCAGCAATAAATCTGATTGATTGGATGGCAGCTGGAATGCCTGTTATCGGCCAGCTGCTAGAAAGAATTTATTGAAAAATGCTGTCACTCAAAAATTACATCGCTGTTTTTCATAAAATAATGCTGTTTCATTTGTATATTATTTTCCTGATGAAGACGCTGGTATACAGTGTCAAAACGAGTTGGTAAATAAAGGATTTCTTATCTTCGTTCTTCTCTGTTCTTTGAACTATGAATCGGGATGTAAAGACCTATCTCTAGATTAAAGCAAATAACTTTCGCCAGTGCAGATGCGAACAGTCAACTTATGCCTGATCGTTTGCTCCCTACCAATGCACGGGAAGGAATACAGCGGTACGTAGCACATTGAAAACGAAACACTGACTCACTTCCCTCAGTCGCTCAGCTGAGTTGATGCTGGTTGTGATAATCGCATCAGCAGAATGACTATAATCTGAAATGTCTGCTGCGTCTAAACTTTGCAGCTTTTGATATAAAGCATCGGTTACTTGCCGTAAAGAGACAATTCTTCTTCGAAAGCAGATTTGTCTTACAGTGATGATTATAACGAGTTCAGTAATTACAATAAAAATAACGACAACTGCTAATTATTCTTTTACGAAAATTCTTACTGCAACTATTGGGGCACAAGATTAAAAAGATTTTACAATTCTAATGAAATAATGATCTTATTTTTTATTTCACAGTACTTTAAAACACGCGGGAAAAAATTTTGTGATTCTTTTGGGAATGAAAATGTAATGAAAACTTCATTTTTTATTTATGAATTCTCATATTACAGTTTTTGTGGAATGATTTGCGTTCGTAAATGGAATTCTAGATCTATTAACTTTTGAACTTCCACAGTCACAAGAGCAGAGAAGCTTATTTTAATGGTATTACATTCCCTGGGCATTGGCTCAGCAAGTATCTCCAAAAATTACCATAATATCCTTTTTTGATCATCAACTACATCACGGGATTGTCAAATTTTACATCACTCTCATTTGTCATTCCTGAGCGAGGAAGCATGGCTAGAAATAATCCTCTCTATATCTGTGCCTCTCCCACACAAACATATACAGACACTCACCGCATAGTAGTTCTTGATTGAAGTTGGCATTTTACGCATCCGTGAGGAGGCGTCAACTTCGCTAGGCACCAACACGTGATCTTCAGTGTCGATGATGACTTTGACCGGATTTCGTAAGCCAACCTTGATCACCTCCTCTACCTGGTCGGTCAGCGTGGCTGAAAACAAGCCGGTTCTGCGCTGTTTGGTCAGCGTTGACAAAATCTTGTCCATACTGAAACAAAGAAGTACGCAATGAAGTAGCGATCACTTCCATTATCGATTGTTACCTCTTCGAAAAACCTCTTTCAAGTAAACGGTCAGCTTCATCCAGAATAAGAACATCGAGCGACTTCACGTAGTTCAACAGCGAAAACTCCTCACTGCTCGCTTCAAGCAAGGTTTCCAATCGTCCCGGAGTTCCGATTACTATGTTTCCCCTATACGACTTCAGTTTAAAAAAACGACCAAAACAAACTTTATCTTACCCCTCGTTCCTGAACTCCGTGACGTCGACGGTGATCTTTCGTTTGCCACAGAAAACCACTTGACGGAGGAAAGGAAGTGCTTCCAGAAAAGGCGCCAAAACATCGTGAATCTGCAGACCCAGTTCTCGATTGGGAACTACCACGATAGCGCCAACCTGCAATCCGCACATACGCATTATAATATAGGAATACAAAAGAAAACTAACCGCAAAAGTTTATAAAAAATGCTCCACAGAAGGCGCAAATAATTATTTTAAACCTCTATATAACGAAACAAAACTTTTAAGCCTCATCGTAAATTTTTTCAAAAACTGATTCAGATTAAAAAAAACATTTTTATCTTTTCGCAATTTAATAACCACATTTAAACTGGATAATTTTTCCTAGTCAGTCAAAATGAATGTTAAAAGAATAATAAAGAGCAATAAAGAGCAGTATGACGTATTGCGCGAAATAAACTTTTAAACTGAACACTATGTTCCAACTTCATAGCAACGAACGCATTCCAACTTCATAGCAACATCACTGGATTCAGAAATGGACGCAATATTAACACGGAAAAAATGATTTACAATTTACAGATTTGCTGGTTTAAAAAAATTGCGTAAAATCTCAAATAAAGCAACATTGCAGCTGGTTTACAGATTCATGGTTGAAGGCACCACATACACAGAAGGTGAAAGTTTTACTGCCAACGTGTTTCGCTATGCACGTCGTAGCATCATCAAGGCACAAACGAGCCATGACAGATTATGCTTTGATGATGTAACGGCACGCGTTCGCAATAAAGTGTTTGCGTTTACGTCTGTTTGTTTGGTGCCCTTTTCATGAGTTTGCAAACCATCTGCATTTTCAGCAACAGGTCCAGAATTAGACATTTTTTGACATGCTTAAAACAATATAAACCTTATAATATTAAAATAAATACAAACTTCGAACTTGACTTATTTTTCTGCGAAGTGAACAGAGACCGTGATTTGTACTAGGCGTTCATTCATTTTAAAGAAAGCTATTCCTTTTGGATCACCCGGAACACCTACTTCAAGCTTTAACAGTGGTCCCGGTCTGCGGTCAAATTTTGTTCAGACGTTTGGATTCCAAAACGAGACAAAGTAACGTCTATATTTCTTATGTCTACGTATTTAACTGATGTTGTAAGTTTAGTCACAAGAAAAGAGTCATTATCTTGCTCTCTTCTGAAGCACGCAAATGAAGTAAGGTCCAGAAACAATCTCACTGTTTTTCCAATAAACTTCTAGCTCAGGAAAGTGAAAAATTAAACTGAAACAAAAGAATGACGTAAAAGAGGTAAAAACAGCAGAAGAAGAAAATTGAAAAAGAATGAAGTAGAAGGAGATGAAGAAAACGAGAAAAGATGAAGAAAAATACAGTAAGGTGGAAAAGGAAGCGTAAAACTACACGGAGAAAAAACGAAAAGAAGAGGAAAGGAAAGTTATGGGAAAACAAAATATGAAGAAAAAAGAAAATCAAAGGAAAGCGAAAAAACATGAGGAAACAAAAGAGCAGAAAATATACAGTAAAAATATGAAGAAAAAAAAATAAAAGCAAAACGAAGAGAGGAAATAAAATATAAGCGAAACAAAAAAAGCAGTGGCAAGAATACGACAAAAAAGAAAGAAAAGAATTAAGCAGTCTGCAAGATTTACGAAGCAGTTTAAATGACAACAGACTTCCTGAAGACCACAACTGATTGCCTTAATTCTGTTCCGCTGCATTTCTTACTTCACTGCCCTCATCTTTCTGTTTTTTATTTTATGCATCAAGTCTTGTCTTCTTGCAACAGTTGTAATCATGTATGTTGTTTTAACCCCTTTCTATGCTGGATGTAGTTTTAGCAAATTCTGAAAAGCATTCCACCTGAGCCTGACGATACGTTATTGCAGTGTGTCAGAAAACCCATAACAACGGGGCTAATTTTTATTATACATATCAACGGACATCGGTATATCGATTGATATTCGAACAGGTTTCTATTTGACCGACGGCTGTGCGCCCATATAATGCAGGTGCTAAAATACCATAGTCATGACCTTGCGACACCAACCTCTAAGCTACTAGAAACAAGGGGGCAGTACAGCTATGCCGTATGAACCCAAAAAATGATAGCAGATAGCCAGTAATTGTATAGTTTCAGCTGCTATAAATTTTTTAGCCGAGGATATTACGATATTTCACAACTATTTTAAAATAAACTGTATTTACAACAAACCGGCGAATACCACTTAAAGTAGAACGTTTGATTGACGCTCGAGAGGGAAATCGGTAATACGTCCAAGCGCAAATGAATCTAGGCCAGGATAACATCGATTATAAAAGATGATAGTTAGCATTACAGACCGACCTATTGCGGCAAAAGCAGAACTGCAAAATTCAGTCATATTTTACCTGCATAATGATATATGACAGACTTAGTAGAGATGCATAAAAATAAAATATAAGTATAAAATCTTACGAAAAATTTTAACGTCTGATATCAAATTGTTCCAGCGCAAATGTTTTGTTGTTATGAGGCATGCGCTACAGTTTTTTCTTCGAATTACCTAAACACTTGATACCGCTTACAGTAAACGGCGGGGTCAAACCCTCCCTTGAGCAGATTACAAAGAAATGACTTATCTCTCAACTAAATGTTACATGTACTCGTTTGCAGTGACAACTGTATATTCGGCAAGTAATTTTTATTTCATCGATTAAATAACGCTGGCACATCTGCTGACATGGTGTTTAGAAATACATGCATACTTATGGTGAAGGAGACACGAATGAACGAATGTGGATGAGAACCTGCTCGTGACATAAAATTTTACAATATTTCGTACCGACAGGAATTCGGAAGCTAAATCACGAGACGGTGATGTCGCTATATATCTATACGAAGACTTTTGCTAAAGTTCTGTCGCTAGCCTGAGTTATTTACGTTCATGCATAGAATGCCTATTTGTCAAGTGCGGTTCTCGCTTTCTACCGAAGTATAAGTCAGTTGCATTATGCAATCTATACATCAAAAACGTTAATCTGATCTTTTAATACAATCTGCTGTCTAGGTGGCTGAAAATCTTCATATCTTTGCTGGTGATTTGAACCAACGTATAACATCATTCTTAGAATGCACTGTCCCCCCCCCCCACCGGAACACAGGTGACTTCTTTATGCCGCTGAATTATCATGGATCGTTTCAGCTCTACCACGCATTTGTCAAAAATAGACTTAGTATTATTCGACATGCGCCACGTAAAGTTGGCAATTCTGACCACTGCACAATCACGCTGTTCCATAACTCACCTTTCTGGAAGAAAAGCAAATATT